TGTGTACATTAATGAGGAAAAAAATTTACTTAAATGATTTTAGCAAATGGCTGCAATATAACAAAGAGTGAACAATTTAAGGGGGTCTGAATACTTTCCGTACCCACTGTATATATAAAATCGTTTTTTTTATTCTAGAAATTCTAATTTACGTCAGTACAAATACTACCACAATTTAAAAAGTCAAATAAATACATAAATAAATCTTCATAATTGTAATGTAATGAGTTTGATGACTTTTAAATTATTAAAAATGCACTTTTCATGTTTTTAGTTATTATTTGGGTGAATACCAAAAAAAAAAAAGCTCTAAAATAAGAAGTACATGTTTTGCTTTACAAAATGTTTTTATTTAATAAATTAAAATTCATCAAGTCAGAACAAAAACTGCCACAATGTATAAATTCTTTACAAAAACTCTTCCATAAACTTAATTTGAGTGTAATGATTTTTAAATTATTAAAAAAAACATTTTTTTTTTTAAAAGAAAAAAGTTAATTATTTGAGAATTATTTTTTCCCTTAATATAAAAAATAAAGAAATTATTTATATATTTTTAAATGCAATAAATTTAAGTCAGTACAACAAATACTACCACAATGCACAATACTGTATATATGTGTGTGTGTGTGTGCACATGGGTGCAGCTCTCTACAGGACAATGTAACAGTGTATAAGCACTGGTCTTACACACTCCAGGCGGTCTGACTCTGAAGGCTGAAGCAGGCAGCTGCTTGGCAATTGTTTCCTGAGCGTCACAACATTTCATGCTTTAACCCTCACCGCCAAACCTCCACCTCCATGTGTGAGCGCTAAAGACCCGGATGTTTGGCCTCCTGCCAGAGGAAGCAGTATTTTAATGATCCTGCTACGTGCGGCGCGTGAGGGAGGCCGAGACCGAGGAGATGAGCTCGAGATGGGTAAACACATCTGTCACTGCCTGAGAAAGTGTGAGGTCTGGCGCACAAAAGGACAAGATACTAGATAAAAAAATTATGATAAATCACGGCTTCAGGTCGCCCGTTGCTGAAATGTGTTCTTGTCGGTGTGGGTCAGTTACGAGGCGAGCACATGGGAGGGGTTTGACTTCAAAACTAAATGACTAAACAAAAACACACGGACCTTCCCCCGTCAGACCCTTCCACTCACACTTCCCGTAAAAACTCCTGAAGACAAAACGACCGAGACCAGTTCAGCAGATAGTGTGTGCTTCCTCAAGACGGCTTCAGCAACTAATCCATAAATGTCACTCAGTTTGATGATTTTTAAATGATTAAAAAAATAATAATAATAATTACTTATTTTAGTAATTCTGAAAAACAAATTCTCTATTGCATAAATTACACTTAATGATTTTTAAATGACTAAAAATACACATTTAAAAAAAAAAGGATAAATATGGGGGACAAAAAAAATCAACAAATTCATAGTTCCATACATTTCTTTTTTATTATAATTTTTTTTTTAAATAATACAATTTATTAATTTGAGTTAATATGAAAAACAAATTGATTAAATTGATTAATAATACACATTTTTTTAAAACAAGTTATTTGAAAATTGCATAAATTTGAAAAACAAAATTAGCATTTCTTAATTCAATAAATTTCACTTAAGTTTGAATTAAAAAACATTTTTTTGAAATAAGATATTATTTGGATGAATATGAAAAACAAAAGTTCTCAATTCCATAAATTTCACTTAATGATTTTTAAATGGTTATACGCCTTTTTTTTTTTTAAGATATTAATGATTTAAAATTATTTAAAAACATAATTATTAAAAATGA